AAGAGTCATTTCTACTTCCAAGTCTAAATGTGATGGTTCTACTCTCCTTGATGGAGAAAAGAGTATAGAACATTTGATAATCTTTCCCATTTTTTTTTCTTGGTTTATTTGTTATATTTATTATCAAGGGACTAAATGCAGTTGAGTAGGAGGATGAAATCTTGGTGGGATCAAACAGTGGGGTAGCTTGCTTGGCCAGAAATGTCAAGCACAAAATGATCTCATATATAGTGAATGTATATATTCACTTTTAAAATTATGTTTTTATAATTTTTAAAAATATATTTTGAGGTTGTGTGATTTCATCAGTGTAGGTACTCTCCTCTGAGGATGATTGAAATTCTTCTATAATTGAGACAATATTTGAGGATTTAAATGGTTGAAAAATTGATCAACTTGTGGCCAGCCTGATGATGAGCCTCTGACAGCAGGTGTATATTCTGTTTGGACCCTTTCCAATTTGGAAGGACCTGTCAATCAATTGACTAGCATTTATTAAGTCCTCTATGTGCCTGGTACTGTACTAAGTGATGGGAATACCAAACAATCCCAGTCAAATCAGTACTTGCTCTACAAGAGCTTACCTTCTGATGAGGGAGACAACAGGTATGTAAATGTGTATATAAAAAATAAATATTAGGGTTGATAGCAGGTAACCTTAAAGGAGAAAGCATTAGAATCTAAGGTGACCTCCACATTATGATATGGCATTGGAAACAATGTGGTTGACAAGGAGTACCTTCACTGATGAAATCACACATCCTCGAAATATATTTTTAAACGTTGTGTATATATGTATATATTCATTGCATATGAGCTCAGTTTGTGCTTGACATTTCTGGCCAAGGCATCTACCCCACTGTTTGATCCCACCAAGATTTTATTCTCCTACTCAACTACATTTAGTCCCTTGATAATAAGTATAATAAATAAACCAAGAGGAAACAAGCTCAAAGTTAAAGTAACATTTTAGTCTAGCTCATAGAGCTAGGAAGCAATAGAGCTAAGATTAGGATCCTTCCAAATTTCTTGCCTTTTTGCTACAATCCTCTATAAAGGACCTCCTTTGCATTAAACAGAGCCTGATTTTTGTGAGAGGGAGGAAGACCAGGGCAAGTAGATGATAGGCAAGACCTCAAGAAGGGTGGGGTGGACCCAGGTTCCCAAAAATGGAAATTGTTATTTATAGACATATCTTAGAGAATAGAGAAGTAGACTTGGAATCAGGAATTTGTTGCTGAGTCAGTAATACCTGGGTTCAAATCTTGCTTCAGATATTTCTAGTTGTGTGACCCTGGGCAAATCACATAACCTCTTTCTGTTTCATTTTTCTAACCTGTAAAACGTAGATCCTTCCAGTTTTAAATCTATGATAATATAAATAGAGATTTATTTCTTAACGTCACCATATAATGCAATTTGGCATTTATTGTTTTTCTTTCAGATTTTGCAATCTATTGCTGAAAGCAAGAGAAACCCCTAAACTCTTGGATAGCCTGCTGCCAGAAATGTTCAATTTCACCCTACCGGACACAGAAACAGGGGGCTGGAACTAGTTGTCCTTTCACTCTCCTTCCCTATCAGTTAGTCGGAAGCAGATACTTGGATAGCATTAATGTGTGTGCATGTAACTTTCACAAATAGTTACAGGGCAGACACAAAAACTATGCTATTGAGGCCTAGGAACCTGGAGCGTGGTGTTCCAAGTGGGCAGCGTCCCTAGTGCCCCGTGGCAGTTAAAGCCCTGGTGTGTAAAATGGACGAATTTAAAAAAAAATAAAACCTTGAAACTCTCAGCTCTGCTCTGTTGCTGAGGCGATTGTATGATCCAATTGCCAGCCTCGGTGGGGAACCTGTTTTCTTATCAAAACTGTTACAGCAGAGGCAGCCGGGGCAGCGCGACCCAAAGCCGTCAGAAGGGAGGACGCAGTTCGCTGGGGCTGTGCGGGAGCTGGCCTTCTCTGGCCTTCTGTCAACTAGCTTGCCCTTTCTATCTTTGTGCGTTTTTCAGGCAGAAGCTCTCAAACTAAACGGAAAACCGCTTTGGGCGAGCTAGGAGTGTGCGTACTGGAAGCTGGGAGGGATGAGGTGTGGACCCAGGAGTACTGTAGAAGCTGCAGAAGTCCTCTGTCCAGTGCCTCGCCTGGCTAAGGCGTTGGGGTAGGCGTGGGAAGCTCGTTTCCCATTTTGGGAAATGGGAAAGCCGGCTTTGGAGAAGTTACTGACCAGGACCTACCTCCAACAAGGCTGAGGGCTAACCTGGAAATCGGGTCCTTCACGTTTGGCGGCCTGGATGGGGAACGAGGGTTCCAGGCCCCAGAAGGGTTGTGTTTTGGTTGGTTGTCTTTCTGGGGTCTGCCTCGCTTCCAAACACTTTTTTTTTAAAATGGGGAGATAACCCAGCGGCTTCCGAGAGGGTCTAGCTCTGGTTTCCATCTAGGAGGAGGGTGAGGGCGGGGCTGTTTTCCTTTCGTCCAGTTATCCTCCCACCGCTGGGCGGAGAAAAGTGTCTGGAGCGATTCGGTGTCACCGGGCCTGGGTTTGAATCCCTGCTCTACTACTTATGTGTGAACCTTTGGCAAATCGCTACTACTCCTCTCTGTGCCACATTAGGAAAACGAAGCGGCTTGCATTTGCTGGTCTCTACGATCTCTTCCAAATCTGAAACGAAAACCTGGCTCTGTCTTTTCCCCATAAACTGTTTCTTCGAGCTCCATAGTCTTGCCTGCTTCCCCTCACCCCTTCAGCCAGAGGCTTTGCCCAGTCTTTGCCCGGATCCTGAGGCTGTGAGAATGGGGAGGGTAGACGGGGTTGGGGGACAAAGAACGAATCCAGAGAGAACGCAGAGATCCTTGGGAGGCATTGGTGGGGTTTCGACAGGAGCCAAGGCAAATCCGAGAAACTTCCTCCCGGTGGGAGTTATTTATTTTTCCAATCTGGGAATTATGAAGGGGCCCTGCCCGGCTGGCCGGCAGGGAGCTGGGGGGCGGGGGAGCAAGCTTGGAGCAGCCCAAGCTTCCTGGCTTCTCTCCCAGCCTAGCGGAGAACTGGCCCAGAGACCCCGAGGCTGCAGACCCCCTGCGGCGTCCCCATCTGTAAAGTGGGCAGAGTAGTAGCAGCTTCCCTACAACCCCCGGGCCCCCCGAGCCTGGCTCCGCTCCCACCCCACAGGAGCTTCCCAGCCAAGCCTAGGGAGACCCCGGGGAGGGAGGGAAGAGGGACAGAGACTGGGAGGAGGGGCAGTCTGGGGTAGGTCGGGGCTTAAGGTCTGCTGTTTCTCATGAATGTGCTTCTCTCCCAAACGCCCAGTAGGCCCCTAACACCTCACCAATTTGACACCAAGAGGACAGCTTCAGGAAAGAGACAGAAGGTGTGGGAGTGGACCAGGTCAGGCTGGATATCATGTGACCTCCCTTCTCCTGTCCCCACCCCCCCCAACCCGTCAGTCTTTCTCCCCTTTTGTCCCCTGAGTTCCCAAGGCCACTCGGATTGGGGTGGGACAGATACTTAGAAGTTGGGGAGGAGGGCGACACTCAAAGAGACCCTAGCTCTCTCCAGCAGCCTGGAACCCAACAGTGACAAGGATTTGCTCTCCGAAGTGTTTCTGTGGGCCATAGTTGGGGTTTGGTCATAGCAAGCTCTAGAAGATCTTCTGCTTACTTGCACACGACAGCTCCCCTCTCCTTTCTTACTTTAATCTGCTGTTCCTTTTCCTTCTCCCCAATGGGGTACCTTTAAAGCTTTCCTGTTGTCGATTTTTTTCCCTTAGGGGTTGGGAAATCCTTGACAAAAAAAAACACACAAACACAGTGCTGATCTTGGAAAGTTGACTTCTAGGACAAGGACTCCTGAGAAATCTACAGGGAATGATGGTACTTCCTCTATCTTCTCCCCTCTGCCCTTCTCATAGCCCTTCTCTTAGGGCTTTTCCCTGTCTTTCCAGCCCTCCACTCCTGGAGTTCTGCCCATGTTCAGCTCAACTCTGGGTGGATGGGAGACCTGGTGAACTGTTTCCAGGTGGGTGTGAAAGATACAGAGAGAAGAGAGTAGTTAGCCTACTTGTGGGATGCTTGCTGAAAGTTTGGTGGATTGAATAGTTCTAGGAGACCCTAGTCACTAGTTTATTTCTCTCTGTGTATGGATGTATATGAGAGCCCTTCATAATAAGGCTTTCATTGCTTAAGCATAAGATTTGACTCCTGTCTAAAACATATTCATAGTTTAAAAGTCCCCTACTAGGAGACCCCATGTTTTGGGAGATGGGTGCCTACATGGCTCAGTGGGTCAATGACCATCAGGCCACAGGACTGGGGTAGGAAAGAACTCAAGAAACTTAGAGTTTTATCATTTTATTAAGGGAGACAACATATGTATGTTTATATATATTTATGTATATATACATGTATAATATTAGTCATAGATTTGAGTATATAAAATAAATATAATTCAGTATTGGCTAAAAATTACCTTTGGCTCTTTAATCAATTCTTGTATCTTCAACTAGGGTAAAAACTCTTTGAAGTCAGGAGTCATATGTTTTCTTCCTTGTTGGAATCTCTATAGCATACCCTCAGTGGTATCTGCATTGCCGTCTAGGTCATTCTAAATTTTAGCTGTCTAAAGATTGTGATATTCCATAAAGTGACTGCCTACAGAAATAGGAATAATTTCTGCATCAATCATCTAGAATATCACTGGCTTGTCAGATAGAAGATTAAAATCAAAACTGTATTAGAAGAAAGACTAAAAATAAGATGATGAGGCATACAATACAATATAACTTTAGCTATTGATACAGAAAAAGGAGAAATGGATTCAAGAACAGACATAGACATAGACTATCTCCATATCTTATGGCTATCACAGGCAACATCAGTTTAGAATATAAACTCATTTTCTGAAGTCTTAAGGAGAAGGATGATGAAAGATTATGAAGTGTGTTACCTCATTAAATATTAATAAGAGGGGGAGGGAAATAACAAGCGTACAGAAAGTTTGTTGAGAGATCATACTAAGCATAATCATCTGTAGGGAGTTTAAGGATAAACTAGAAAGAGGACAATGCACAGGCAAAAATTGGAAAATATCTATAAAGCTTTCTATAATAAACTCTTTTCTCCTTCAATTATGGAAGAGAACACACTAAACATAAGGCATGAGTCCTTACCCGGGAGCACATGAAAATACTTGAGTGCAAATTTACACAGCAACATATTAAGAAGTACAAATTCTTAAAGGAAACTGGTCCTGGGAACTCTGGATAGGGTTTGGTATGATCTGTCATGGATGGTGTCCTGAGGTGGGTAAATTTTCAGTTTTGAGTTTGCTAAGCAGGACCAAAACACCTCAGTCTCAACCCAACAATGTTGGTCTCCTTGCTGACTTAGAAGCAGAGACCTGCAGGGGTTTTGGTACTTCCTGAAAAAATTGATGTGACTAAAAAATAATACTACTAGCAATAAAACAGTAAATTTCCAAAATGAGTAGAAAATGGTGAAGATAAAGAAGTTCCTACACTCAAGATTTTGTTTTTATTACCTTTCTACACCCCAAATTCAAGAAAGGCAGATGTTTGGATATGTAAATGTTCTGCTGGAGCTGAAGTCATTGAGGGGCAATGGAGGTCTTTGGAGAATTCCAGCAAAATCTTCAGGGAATTTTCTTTGCTGCCAAGCCAAGAGACAATACCAGCAGAATTGCATTGAGAATTGCATTTAGCCTCCCTTGTCTTCCTGCCTTCCCTTCCCCTCCTTTTCCCTCCCCTCTCTTCCCCTCTCCTCCTCTCTCCTCCCTTCTCCTTTCCTCTCCTCTTTTTCCATTTCCTTTCTTTTTTTCTCTTTGCCTACCTTCCCTCCCATTCAACTTCACCCAATTTATGTAGAATGCTTAAAATGAATGCTTTCCTCATCACAGAAACACCAGTTGAGACTGAAGGTAAGGCAATGGTTAACATATAAATGGTCAATGATTAAGCACCCCAAGTTAGCATCTTCTTTTGGAGAGTCTTCAAGACAAGTCCAGCCTCTTTAGTGGCAGGTACTGCCTAAAAGTATGGGCTTTACTTTCTTTGCTATTAGAAAAGTTTCCAGGAAAAATCAAATTCCAAAATGGTGTCTTATTTTTTAAAAAAAATAAACCACGGAAAGAATGAAGGGCAAAGAAACTTTACTTGACAAAAAAATCTACTAATTCTTTTTTTTGTCAGTAAACATTTTTTGCAATAAACTCAATTAACTTTTAATTTAAACATTTACAATGCACATAGCACTGTGCTCTGAGTTGGGGAACTGGGAATTTAAAGATCAAACTAGACCCTAAATGCAAAGGGACTTTCAGTTTAAATTGTGGAGAGAGAGGGGTAGAGGTGAGAGGTAAAGGTAGGTTGTGGTCAGGCTGTTACTAGATAGCCATCTGGGATATCCAGAAGCTTGGACTTTCTGAACTGCTGCAATGGACCCTGACCTCTGCCCTTTCAAAAATCCTGTTGTATAGTTTAGCACCTAATTGTTCTGTAATTATTTAACAGGAGCAGAACTTTGTCCCTTAACTAGACTGTAAGCTTCTGACAGCAAGGTTCTTGCCTTACACTTCTATACAGGACTAGCAGGGAGTTGAGGAGCAACTAAGAAGAATGCTTATTGTTTAACAAATAGAGTAGAAGTCATGCTGATGCATCTTTCAAAGTATTTCCTTACAGAGACTACACATTTCATCCCCCCTCCCCCATAATGAATGCTGCTGTTGCTCTGAATTTACCTGAACTCTTCATTGAGAATGACTTTCAAGTTAGTGTAGA